TCCTTAATTGCTAGATTTTACTCTTTTAAAAGATCCAACAACCATATTTCATTTTTCTTTAAATTTGAATTTGCATTACTTTAAATTTGAATTTGCCTTACTTTAAATTTAAGTTTGTTCATTGGAATGTCTTGTACCAAATCAAGTTTTTTACTCAAATTTAAGTTTGAGTTTGGATCAACATTGGAGATGCCCTTATAAATACACAAGCACAATATGTGTGACTAACATCTAGGCCTTTTAATGAACCGCATTTCAGTATGAATTCGAATTTATTTAATCTAATATGAACCAATATTTTTTCATTCATTTATCTAAATCCGTTCCGAATCCATTTAAATGTCTTAAATTGAATGTGGGTATGGATATATACAAATTTAATTCGATAGAAATTTCATTTGGTTAATACGTGTATATATATATTATTACATAAACACGCCTAACATGTGAAATGAGTGCATAAGAATGTTGTAATTAACCTGAAATACAATCATAAAGTTGAAAGTACCAGAGATTTCTAGCGGCATACTATCAGAAAAACTTCCTTGACTAATTGGGTATATAATTGATTATTTGTATTTGATCTAAAAAAATATTATTTGTTAAAATTTTGGTGGAATACCATTATAAATCGGATTGGGTAATCAGAACGGAGGTCCGATTATAAATGGATTCAGATATGAATTAATATTTTTTTATCCGTCTGATAAACAGATTGAATTTGGTAATAAATTTTTTAATCGAATTTGAATTAAGATGGACCCAAATCAAATCCGTTCATATGGCTAACTACTAACATCCATTTGCATTTGACAAAGACACACATGCATGGTTAGTCACGTGACTTACCTTGTATGCATGCGGGTAGTCCGGTCCGGTCTTACCCATTGTTTAATTTGTGCAGCCATGTAGTTAGTTTCCGTGAAGCTTCTTGTGGCCTTCCTACCGTTATCCTTCTCCCTTCCTTCCTTAATTCAACTCTACTATTATACTCGATAACGACTACCATATCGGAGTAGTAGGTGTTGTTCATAAAATTACGTCACAATCTTTTAAAGTGTAAGTCAAAAGTAAGACGTTGCGAGGGATCACAAAATATTCTAAACATCGTAAATATTTTTTATGTTTCCTAAAGCTTAAGTTACAATTGATTGACATTGTACATAATCACTTATAATATTTCTTGATTGATTACGTTATTAACGCTAACCACAAAATTAAGTGCGGCGCATAGCCATTTGAGGTTTTAAGTAGAAACACTAATTGAGAATTTTTTTAGTATTATTTTAAAAAAAAGATTAATATAATTTTAATTTTGTATGTGAGAGAGACAGAAGAAGGAAAGATGTACTAGTATTGCCGAGAGAGAGATTTTAACTTTTGTTTTTACTTTTTATCGGGGAGAGAGAGAATTTAATTTTAACTTTTATTTCAATTTTTTACTTTTTTTATGGCTTGGATCATTGGTCCAAATTATTTCAATAAAATTTTTGATTGGACTTAATATTTTGGGACTTTTTTTTTGTAAGGTGATACTAAATTTACCACTTAATTGTAAAAAAATACTCAATATAAAATATTTTATATAAAAGTGTTTTTTTAAATGATAAAAATGTCTACAACGTAATAATTACTTGACACAAAAAGTGGGTAAGGAAACCACTAGAAGTTAATGCAACAATCCCATTAAATTCGTTAATTGATCCCTCAAAACATGGGCATTCAAATTTATAAAAAAAAAAAGAAAAAAATTTATTTTCAATTTTCAATCAAAAAAAAAACAAACACAAGCATCCAAAAATTTTGAAGAAGTTGAATCGTTCAACGGTGAAGTGACATAATAGATGTTGAAGCACCATTAATGACAAATCTTTCTTCTATTCTAATTTAACTTGTTGATAATATGATATTAGAGTGATATATGATAGTGTAACACCTTCATTAATATTTTAATCACTAACAAAAAAATGTAAAATTATATTCACTGATTTATACCCAATCTAAATGGTATGTATTACACAATATGATATCACAAATGTAACATATATATATATATATTACTTATAATGAATGATAGTGTTACATCACAATGTATATTGTAAAGTGACATTGTTGCAAGATTTGAAAACAACTAGTGTCGTTTAACATTAAAATATAATATAAAAAAATAAATTTCAACATGGAATTGCATTATAAATGATAATATGAACCCAAATCCGATGTGATTTGATGTCTAATGTTAACGATCCGTTGCAGATGTTCCTGAACAATGTTTGTAACAATATCTTAATTCAATTTACTGATTGGTAAAGAAAAAGATCAGACAATAAATCAATATGATAATATTTTTGCCAGATGAAAAATGAAGACGAAGATGTAGTTTAAAATTTTAATTTACTATCTCATTAAAATTAGAAACTCTTAATATAATAAATTAAATCCCATAAAAAATCGGACTGTCAATCTAAATAGCCCAATAAATATGGAAATGAGAATTTTAATAAAGGAAAATTTTAAAAAATTGTCAATTTGTACTTAAATACAATACATTTCAAGTCAAGTGCATTTATTTACAAAAGATTTTAGTCAATATATTTTCTCACAATAAAATAGTGTAAAAGGTATCTCCTCACAAATTTTCATTTTTTAGGGTCTTAAAATTTAATAGATTTAAATTTTTTGTGAACTAGTAATATACCTAAAATTATGGGACCTAAAACCTATATTTTATTTTCAATACTAATATTTTATCTATTAAAAAGTATAACTTCATGGTTAATAATAATAACTTTTATAATAGGGCAAATTTTAATAACACTGCTTATATATAAGCGTAATTTTATAAACACCCCGTGCATTTTTTTAAATATCATTGACGCCCTTTATCAATAATTGTCGGGGAACTAAGTTATGGTAAATGGACGAAAGTGGCGTTTTATGAAATTACCCTGATCTTATCGTTTTACATTTTTAACCTTTACTTATATTATATATGTGTGTGTGCGCGCGAGCGCGAATTACTAAAGCTTACCCAATTCCCCACACCAGCAACTCACCACCCCTATTTTATCTCTCCCCTCCCTCTCTCTTTCCTTTAGTTATGCCCGCCTCCATTACCAACTATGAGCACACCACAACAATAAAGTTATTGGCCACCACCACAATTCCATCAAATAAGCACCAAGTTAACCATATATTTTTTGAAATTAATATTCACATTCATCAAATTAGTTTCAATTCATCCAATTAATATTCAATTTTATTAAACAAGTACCAAATTATTAATTAAATATTAATAGCAAATTGGCATTCAACTTTATTAAATCTCCGTTAAACTTCATCAAATTAATACTAAATTAGTTATCAATTTAACATTCAATTTTATCAATTTCACAAAATTAACATGAAATTGATCTTAAATTTTATCAAATTACCATTTTATTTCATCAAGTTAACATTCAATCTCTTAAAATAGATAATCAATTCTATCAAATTAACACCAAATTAACCTTTAATTCTAACACATTAACTTTCAATTTATTAAATTAGCATCATTTCCTTAATTTAATCCCAAATTAACCTTCATTTGCATCAATCAATACTAAATTGTCATTTAATTTTTTAAAATTAATATTTAATTTCATGAATTGAACAATTAATTTTACTAAATTAATATCATTTCTTTAATTTAACACAAAATTTACTTTTAATTGCATCAAATTAACATTCAATTATGAATTTAATATTTAATTTTATCAGATTAATATTATTTTTAAAATTAACATTAAATTAATATTAAATTTCATCAAATTAACATTCATTTTAATTCAATTACAAATTAATGTGGGCTACTGTCTATTGCTTTAAGTAGTAAGAGTTATATGTTTAGGGGTAAAATTGGTAACTCACAAGACTATAAGTCAACACATTACAATTTTTGTTGCTTACAGTAACATTATATATGGTAGGGGTAGTTTGTGAAATGCCAGTAAAATTTACCTTATATTCATGGGGTGGGAATGAAATTTAATCCAAATTTAATTTCTTTTGTATCGTATTCTCATCTAATATTTTACTTCAAAAAGAATACTCTCTGCAATGATATCATGTCATTATTGAATGATGATATGATATAATCGACTAATAATAAAATTTTAAATAATCAAAGTGAACTCTATTTAAATAGTTATCCGCTTACATAGAAGAAGAATTAATAATTTTTAACTTACATGGATATATAGTTATTAGTTTACGTGGGTTTATTTTTTATTTATTTACATGTTCTATTGCGTAATCTTATTAGAATAAAAAAATTTGACATAATTTATTGATATAATGATATAACTTTAATAAAATTATTGAATAAACACAAAATTTTAATGTTTGATGAATCCCACAATCAATATTTTATGAGGTCAATAAATTAGGTAAATAAATTAAATCTAATAACATTGGTTTTTACATATTATTAATTGATGATATCATATCATTAATACTGATGTAATATCACAGTTAAAGTGAAATTTGTTTTTGAGAAAGTGACATTTATGATAAGGAAAATGTTATTTGAATCTTATTTGGAGACTTTATTTAGAAATATAATAATGTACAATTATTGAATTAATTGTGAGCTTCATTTAATATTAGAACTCATAATTAAATTAATAATTATATTGAAATCATATTATTAAATTCTTAAAAAAAATGTTGGATTGATGGGATGGTGAAGATGATGGAAGAAAGGCGTATTTGCAATCATACATGGTTATATGGGTCCCTCTTTGTCTGCCAATACCTCCGATAGGTGCATACCTCTTTTCTCTCAATATTTTATAAGATACAAGCTTCCATGAAACTTCCCAGTGAGTTTTTTTCTCTCAATTTTTTAAATGATTCAAATGCTCCATGAAACTTCTGTGAGTTTTCCATGAAACTTCTGTGAACCAACTTTATTCTTCCCGTTGCTGGTCCATATGGGTACTCTTCTGTTCTTTAATATTGTTTCTTTCTTTATCTCAGGCAGGCCTACAAGAGGAAGTCAAGAATTATAACGGTTGATTATATATAGGAGCTGTATGTTCGTACAAATTTATAACTGTCAAAAACCTTGGGAAGATTCATAGCAAGTGATTTTGTTCTTGTCCTTTCCTTTTTGGAGTTTTTAAAATGACCGGCACGCTTCCCGGTGTTGAATGTGCTCGAAGAAGACGGATTCATTATACAGTTGGGGGGGCAGATTCACCCAGTGCCTCTGGTTCTGGGTTTACAAGGCGCTCGTCTTTTTGCTTGTATACAAGCAGCCATGAATCCCAGCTCATCACCTCTTCTTCTTCTTCCATGGTACCATTTCAAACCACTCTCTCTCTCTCTCTCTCTCACTCTCCATACATACATGTATGTGCGTTAATACATGTTTATATATGTCTGTGTATGAGACTTGGACTATATTTTGTGGGGTGTGATGCTAATCTGTTTGGGTCTTAAAAACAGCAAAGAAGCATGGTGAATCAGGAATATGAGAATGAGAACCTAGGTAAAGTGGCAAGAGAAGCCAAAGAGAGGTTAGATGAGAGGCTAAGAGCACAGCGGAAATCAGAAACCAAAAGGTATTGTCAACTGTTTATGGTAGCATTATCGTCTGCGTTTTGAACTACGTTGCATATCTTTTCTTTTTCAAAAAAATAAAATTTATTAAACTACCCAAATGGTACATGTTGGTCACTCTTGATTATATGATAAAGAACTTGATTAATGAACACCTAGATGTCTCATTTTTATCAACTTATTTATTGCTTCTCATTTTCCATGATTGAATTCAGGTGCCAAGAAAGATTAAGGATCATGGGGGGCAGGAATAGCCCTAGCAACCAAGAAAGATTGAGGGGTAAGGAAATAGAGAACAGGACTAAGACTAGCACCACCCAAGAAAAATTGAAGGGTATAGATGGCAGATCTATGGTGCTTAGGGATTTGCAGACAGAGGTGTTTGGGTTGAAGAAAAGTGGGTTAAAGAGGTTAAGTTGGGCAAAGTTAGGAGGGAAAGGCTTGGAGCCAGAGGAGTGTGCCGTGTGCTTGGACCAGTTCAAGGTGGGTGAGACCCTGGTGCACCTGCCTTGCGCTCATAGGTTCCATTCAAGGTGTTTGGAGCCATGGCTGGAGAATAATGCGCATTGCCCTTGTTGCAGAATGGAGCTTTTGAGTTAAAAGTTTTGTAACTTTTTTTGGTTTTTCTTCAGTCTGTAGGTGTGAAAGGAAAATATCAAATTGATTTAAAAATTTAATTTGATGAATCACTATCATTGAATAAGTAGTGTGTCTCAATTAATACTGAGACTCATAAGTTAAATCAATAACAAATATAACAGTTATATCATCAAGTCAAATTTTTAAATTAATTTTTTAAGCCTGTATAAATTGTAAAGAGAGATGAATAATAGAACGAGCAAATATTTTGGAGTTTTATTTTCATAAGAATTCTATTTAGACATAATTTGATAATTTAATTTGTTGACAATTAACCACAATATTATTTGAAATGCATAAGCAATTCGATAGTAGTGATGAATCGGGTCATTAAATTGGGTGAACACATTGAATCTAAATAATATTATTTTTTTCCTCAATTGGCAAAAGAGATTTCATACATAGGAGAAGGTACAAGGTCCGTTTCACTTGTTTAACGGACAAATCGTTAATATAATCTATCTATCAATCTATCTAATAAATTACCTAGTACTCCATGAACAAAACCGCGTCCCTTTAAATTATTATTTTTCTCTTGGTCGGACGCGGCTTCTTCTTTTTTTTTTTTAAATGCTTTTTCGGAAAGCAGACAGGACTATTTAAATAAAGTGGTATTTTGTGAAAACGACGTAGTTTGATCTGAATTCCCTTCTTATAAGGTCATCGAACTTGCCCACTTATAATAAGCAAAACTACTTGTCCAATTAATGACAAGAAAACCTCATTTTAAAATACAAAGTTTATTCCATAATCTTCTGCAAATTGTTTTGCCAACCTTCTTTGTGTTTTTGTTTTATGTAACGGTAAAGGGCATAGGATGCATTGATCATGATGTTGCGAAAAGGAATTGAGCGGCATGTAAAAATAATAAGAAGTTTAACATGATAAGAGATTTTTGAGTTATATGGCGATATTGTATAGCAGTATCAATTGATGTCGTGATGATAATTTCAGCAAGTTGGATTGACTCGAAAACGTCTTAAAGAATGCATTCGAGTCAAGTGAAGCTTGCGGTTTACATGAAACATGAAACAGTGTTAAATTGTAAGATTCTTAGATACAAACTCAACCAAGTTATATCGAAATTGGCATGTTTTGAGCTATGATCTAGTTGCAATGAATTAGGATCACAACAAACATCCAAAGTGAGAGAAAACCCGCAAGAGACGGAGTATATAACCCCTAAGAAAGATTAATTTTTATGTGTCCATAAAATAATTGACCTTTGGATCTTTTGGCTTAGAAGTTAATTTAGGATGGTCAACTAGGCCGGTGTGGTTTAACATTTATAGTGTTTTGAATTTGGAATGCCAAATATTATACCATATTTACATTTTTTTTTATTCAATGGACAGGGGTGTTTTGGTCAGCTTACGTGTATTTCGATTAATCTCCTCTCTGGTCTGGTTAAAGACAGACCATCTATGTCGGGATTAGGATATTTATGAGGAATAAATCTTTTATGACCTGACCTAAAAAAATTGTCAATATTCAAATTTAGAACGACTAAATTTACAATCCATCTGGATTCTTACTTGAGATACCCGTTGAGGTTATATTTTTTTCCTTTTGGCCTACAAGTGGGTGCTGTTCCAAAGTGTGAAACTGGTCAAAATGCTTTGAAAAATCATCCTATATGGCTCTACAATTATTGAATCTGCCAGCAATGGCTTTTGCTTATTTCATCTGTAGCGGTTGAAATAAGTGATTTCAAATGCACCAAAGATCAGAATCAATCAATTTGTGCCCACCAAGAAATTGGATTTGAAATAATGGGCCCATTATTGCCTCTACTGGACCCAACATTTGTTGGTGCTTCTGAGCAATAAGTCACTCCCTGTCCTATTTACAATGATGGATTTTTTTGGCTGTGCACACAATTTTTTAAATTTATTGGAGAAAAAGTGTATAGATAAATTATTTATTTTATTAAGTTCAATTTCAATAAAATATATTGTGTTTAAATACAAAATTTAAATAAAATCAAAATTATTTTACCTAAATACCCTCCATTAAATTATACATTATTGATTGGTAGTTATATATCTAATCAAATATATAAATATTTCATTAGATTCTCTCACTATCTCTCCCCTATTTTTTCTCCATCTATCTCTCTTTCCCCATTACTTTTCCCATCTCTCCCTTATTTTCTCTCAATATCTAACATTGATAATTTATTTTTTTTTAAATATGTAAAGATTTGATTTATTTTTTTTATCTCTCTCTCATTTTTTTTTTCTCTCTCTCAACATTATAACAACATAATTATACTAATCAGTTACACCAATTAGTTATAATTGTCTTATAATACACAAAAACAGTTATTCATGCATTCTAATAAACTAAACAGTCACACCAAACAATTACACATATTTATAACACCAACTAGATTTGTCATTTCGTTATTTACATAAACTAAATAGTTGCACTATTTAGTATCGCGACATCGTTATACCAATCATATTTACCAAATTTAGTATAATGATAAACTCAATTTGACGTATATAATTGATATAACAATGTCGTGATACTAAATAATGTAACTCTTTGATTTATATAAATAGCTAAATGACAAGTTGAGTTGATGTTGTAATTTCATATAATTGTTTAGTATAATTATTTGGTTTATTAGAACACATGAATAACTGTTTAGTGTATTATAGGATATTTATAACTAATTGGTGTAACCGATTAGTGTAATTGTGTTGTGTAACGTAGATATAAAGAGAGAGAGAAAAGGGAGAGAATAATGAAATAAAGGGAGAAGGAGTGAGAGAGAAAGAAAAAATAGGTGGAGAGAGATAAGAAATTAAATTAAATCTTTACATATTTAAATTTTTTTTATGAGAAATAGATAGAGAGAAAAAGAGAGAGAGTAACGAAGTAATAAATACCAATTTAGTCTTTTTTTTTAAAAATGCATTTATGGTCAAATAAGTTTCTTTAATGTAGTTTAGCTTAAATAAATCTAAATTTTTGTACCAGCTTCCAAATTACCCTACAATGATTTCAGTGACATCTACATCCTCACACCGTCACTTTCTTAATTTTTTTCCCAAATATTATCAATCCACCGCTGGTTGTGGGACCCATGAATAAGGTTTCAAGGAGCAATTAAATTATTGAAGGGGTTAGCCCTCATGATGGCACGTGGTACAACATTAAATAAGATCATGTAAACTTGACAAGACCAATCATGTGACAAGGATATTCACCCAGTCTTGAGGACCGAGCCGAACAAAGCAGTTCATTTGACAAACAAAGAACGAGTTAGGTTCTCTTGATGACCGAACTCATTAGTTTGTCCAGCTAAGTAAAGAAAGAGCTCGGCTTGTACCAAGTCGAGTCCGTTAAAGGGTTTGGCAAGACAATTGAAGAGATCATTTTGTACCAAACCAAACCCCTTAATCTGTTCGGCAAACGTCAAGTGTGCTCGGTGTTCGATATGACAGAGCTGTTTCAAATGATAAACAAAAAGATAAATATTTGCCTATAATTTAGGCAATCAGATAAACGAATTAGAGAAATTGAAGATATCAGGAGAAAATAATGGAGAAATATCAGCAACTTCCTAAACTGAATGACTAAATCTAAGGATGGTGTGCCATCTTGAATCAAGAATCACGGAAATCTTAAGGGGATGACCACCTATAAAAAGCAAAAGGAGCCAAGAAAAAAGGTACGCTGAACTTTCCTGGTCTTCACACAATTCTTCTTGTTCCATTACTAACTTAAGCATCGGAGTGCCTTCGATCGAAACACTTCGATCTTTGACAGTTTGTTCATTTTGTAGGGAAAAGATTAGAAGACAACTCAGGATTCTTTTCCAGAAATCGCATCACAAATTCACTGTTAGAGGTATTACAAATTTTTTGCCTCTAAATTTTTGGCGCCGTCTGTAGAAAAGATCTTCATCTTTCATAACAAAAAGCTATGATGTCAAGGCTCAGAAGCGTAATTGGATCACCCATAGACAGTTTTACCTAAGGGAACTCTGATCCTGCGTCTCTTCCTTATGACAACGACGCAAGGTTGCATGCAGCTAGAAGCCCTCCAAGACCCATGAAGGTGATGAGATATCCTCTGCAAGTTTCAAGCCCTCGAAAAACCAGAACCAGCAAAGCGAGGATCATGGTAAATCCCTTCATGCTGAAGGGGAGAACCACTCCTTGGCAAAGTTGGTCCAGTCCCTGCAGGATCGACTTAATGCTTATGACAAGCTATTCAAAAAGTCCTACGCTAGGGAGAAAAATCTCATCAAAGAAAACGAAGAGTTAAAAGCCAAGTTGAAAGAGGTGACAAGAAGAAAAAAGTGGGTGAGAGAAGATCGACATGAAAGTCCGAGAAGGAAGCCTTGCAAGATTAAAACTGCCGATGAGAAAGGTTACCATCAGCAGAAGCCTCTGATCCAGGAGAAGGACACGTGGAAGCAATATATCAACGAAGAACTCAACATTCGCTTGAAGAGAATAGAGCAGAGGTCGGCAAGGGACCTAGCCAGAAAAGCAACAGGAGAGTACGAAAACGGTTTGGAGTCACTCCCATTCACTGCCTGGGTGGAAAAGGCACGAATCCTGAGTAAGTTTGTCATTCTGAACTTCAAGTTGTACGGCGGAAAGACCGACCCAGCCTCATATATCAGGCATTTTTGACAACTAATGACCATCCACCAAAGAAACGAGCCACTACTCTGCACTATCTTCCCTAGCAGTCTAGGGGAGTCTGCCATGAAGTGGTTTGACAGCTTACCAAAAGGAACGATTAACGGATGGTCCCAGTTAGCCGAGCAGTTTACAGCTTGATTCATCACGAGTAGTAAACAACCAATGGATGTTGGGGCTCTACTAACGCTGAAAAAGAAGGGTAACAAAAGTTTGCGAGAGTATGTACATCGCTATTGAAAAATCATGAATGAAGTCGAAGGGTGCAATCCAGAGATTGTAATTGCATCCTTCAAAATCGGCTTGCCAAAATAGAACCCTCTATACCAATCGCTCACGAGGAGACCTGCTACTGACCTGGAAGAATTGATGGCAAGGATCGAAAATTATGCCAAGGTTGATGATGACTTATCCAGAGAAGTGGTTAAGGAACATCCAAGTAGGAGACAGTTTGGTAAGGACAAGCAAACTGAGCCGAACAGAGAGGAAGGAAGGAAGTTTGAGAAGGAAAGATATCCCCAGAGGTCCCCTTTTCTGGGGGTAAATAC